GGGGCGGTTATAGGGGACGGGAGGTCTCCGGTAAACCCGGGGGGTGGGGGGCGGTGGAGTTGTTTACCACCCCGGGAGACCTCTCCCTTTCTCGGGGCCGGGAGGCAAGGCCGGCCTCGGCTGCTCGGTTCGGGCTTTAACTCTTTCAGGTGGTTTCCGCTTGGCAAGCCCTCTTCCCGGGGGCAAGGCGGGCGTTTGCGCAATTAGGCTGCAGCTTGAGCCAGTTAAAAATTCAAATCAAGGGGCTTTTTAATTAAACTCCCCTCCTCAGGGATTAAAAGCTACACAAAGGCTTGTGCGTGAGGACCCGAAGGTTAAACTGTGTCCTTTCCCCGCCTTGCTTGGGAGAGACACAGAAAGTAAGCCAATACCTGTGCTGAGGGGTAGAATGGACGTTAAAACCTGGACTGGTTTAACGTTAATTAGCCTCACTGCAGTCATTATCTTAACCTCTGTACTGATATTGCAACTTAATTATTTGCTGCTGGCAACCCTTCTCCTCGTTGCCTTAAAACTTGCTGCAAAGTTGGCCCCCTCTCTGTAATAACATTGATTTGGGCTGAGGGCATCTTGGCCGCATCCAAAATCCATCTTTTTGGAGGCTTGTGAGGTTCGCGCTGGGCTGTGCTGAAAACCCTCGGCAGCCACCCGTAAATCCTGCTGTAACCTGTCACTATTGTACCTGAACTCTGGGGAAAATACGCTGGCGCTGCATACCAGGGTGTTGCTGCACCTGAGGTGTGTTTGCTCGGCGTGTTAACCCAGTATCAGGTCATTTATTATCGTTAATGTACCCCAGGCATGTATTAACCGCACTGCCCTGCTGAATATCCTCCAGGCAAGGAGAGGTGATGCCTTGCCGGGCCTCAGGTGCAACAGTATACAGCAAGGTGTGGGCTGTAGGTTCTCTAGCTTGGTTTATGGTTGCTGTTGCAACACCCGCACTGGTTCATTGTTGTTTTACTGGAGGGAGTGTGCGTGTGTGTGTGCGGAGCTCGGCCAGATGGTGTATTGTGCCTTCCCAACCCAGTCTAAGGCTCTTTTCAGCTGCCAGGTAATGCATTATTGCTCCTGACATTCAAACCACTAATCCACTTTATATTGTTTTCATTTGCAAGCTAAAGCTATGCTGCTGCCTGCTAGATAAAAATGCAAATGTGTTGGCTGGGCTTTTCATTTTGGTGATGGGCTGTTATTTAGCACCAGGAAGAGTTTGCAGAGGAAAAATGAGTTGCGTATCGTAGCTCCCGGGCACTTTGTACAAGAGACACAGTCTGACCACCTTAGAGGAAGACCTGGAGTTGTGCTAGGGATGCTGGAAGTTGTCTTTCACTTTTAGACCTGGTACCTGGTAGGTTATTTGTTGGTTTAGAACAGAACTGTGCCTGTTTTGGAGGTGTGTTAGGGAAATAGTCTTTCTTTTCAAGTATGTGGCTTGAATAGCACAGTGCTGGTTGTAAACCCAGTGGTGGGAGGTGGCTGGGAGACTCCATAGCTTGTTTGTGGTTGGCCTTTCCTTTGTTTCTTTAAGCTGACTGTATTTTGATATCGATGAACCTTGAAGGGCAGCAAGTGGGATCTGTGTAAGCATCTTTTTACGTTAAAAAAAAAAAAAGACCCTGGAGAAGGACCGGCTTTGTCAGCAGGTCCCATTTGTGACACAAAGTCCAAAATACATGTGCTGATTTTAATGGTTGGGGATTAAAGGCGTAGTTGTCTTTCTAGGATTTACTCTAGATCAGAGCTGTGTTTCCGACTGCGGTCTCTTCTGTTGGTCTTTGCTCAAGAGGAGGCTAGTGCTGGCTCAGCATGGGCTTGCTGCAGGTCAAAATGGAGAGCTAGGAAAGCTCTCGGGTCCTTTGGCTGGGAAAAATCGAAGGGAGGCCACAGATGGGGCTTGAGATGCGCTGGCAACTCTGGGAACCAGAGGCAGGAGTTGCTTGGTGCTCAGCAGTCTGTTTCAGGCTGCAGTGGTCTTTGCTTTAGTCTTGTCTTGCTCTCCTGGGGAAAAATAACGGCTAAATACAGGGGGGTTTTAAGACAGACATATAAAGTGTAAAGAATTCAATAATGTACTGAAAACATGAAAGAATTTAGAGGTAACTGGTAGGTGATAAATCCCTGCCCGCTTTTTCATAGAAATATGGTCAAGCTCATCATCCCGACTATCTCCTTTTAAGGTAGTGTTTTGAGCAGAGCCAACCCCTAGATGCTAAACCTAACATTTCAAAAGTAATTATTTAGGCAGCGTGGAAGGATTCTGACCAAAAAATGAACTGCCAGGACAGTGGACAAAGGCATTTCAGATGCTGTCTTTGGGGTATATGAAACTGAGGTTATAGTAAATGTGTTCAGCTTGAAAATACAATTAAACAGTCTGAAAATTGAATGCAAGTTTGAGCCTGAGGCTGTTAAACATGAAGCTGATTGTTTCACGGTCTCCTGCACAGGAAAGAGTATTGGCTTTGCACTCTATTTATCCTCTTCCTGGGGAAAAGATGAAAGCATTTTATATTCATACAAATATTTGTCTATCTTTCAGATTCTGCCAGTCTCCCAAGGTCAGGGCTTGAACCCTGCCAGATAAAGTCAAAACCGCCCCCCCTTTTTTCCCAGCCATGCAAACTGCGGGATGAAGCTGGAAGCTGTGGTCGAGCAGCTGCAGAAGCAGCAGCAGAAGCAGCAAACGCCTCTGCAGATGGATTCCAGGGAGAGACAGCAGAGGCAGATGAGGGAAGCTCAGCTGCTCTACACTCAGCAGCTGGCTGTGCAGCAGGCTGTCCTAGCAGCCGCATCTGGCAGGGCTTCGGGCGGCTCTGCCGTTGGTCCCTTGGCCAGAGGCCCACCTGCAGCTGGAGCTACGCGGGCTTTTGATCAGAGCAGCATGAATTCAGAGCCAGAAGAGGAGGAGGAAGAGGAGGAGGAAGAAGATGAGGAGGAGGATGAAGAAGGGGGTTTGGAAGGTGGAGATCTCGAGGATGGTGCTGATGTGACTGGAAAAGAACCCTGCTCTGCTCTGAAATATTTTCACGCTCCCAAAGTTGCCCATCACAACCAAAGAGTGGCCTCTACCTCTAATCCTCTTCCAGCTTCAGGGCACCAGCGGGGACAGCAGGGCAAAGAAGAACAGGGTAAAGACACTACTAAGCAACCGTATTCTGGTTCCCTGTCTGGACGCCAGAACTGGCGGTTGGACGAGCAGATCAAACAGGTCAGTGTTAACGTTACTTCCTTCTGAATAAGAATGACCATGATGCACTCAGAGCGAGGATTTCTTTAGCCCAGTGTCCTGTTACAAGTGCTGGCTGTTGACAAGCGCTTTGAGAACAGTGCAAGAACCGGGCGCGTGTAGGGCAATGCTTCCCTGCTGTACTCCTCTGGGTTTATTATTTTTTAAAGAGATTTCGCCAGAACTTGATTTGCTTTTACAGATACAGATTTCCAGCTAATGATACAGAAACCCCAATCTAGAAGAACCTTTATGAAGAGGTACAGGTTTGATCTTTGGCTCATTTATCTTCTCGCTCGCTGCTGCTGTGCCATTCAGAATGGAACAGGCTGGTGTTATATTTATTTTTGGTGCAGACGTTTGCCTGCTAATGTCTCACTCCAGTTATTTCACGTACGGTATCTATAACCCCTTTGTGTAAGACCTCTGGGATGCAGTGACTTTGGCTGGATTGCTGGTTGGTGCTGTGAGCAGGCAGGGAAGCAAAAGCCACTTTCTATTTCATGTGTGGGAAGGAAGGAGCTAACTGCTTGGCTTTGGTAGGTGGTAATCCTATGTTTGAATGAAGAATTACTACTTGTAGAAAAATGTCAGAGGATCAAGAATTCTTTTCTTTAAGTGGGTATTTCTGTTAACGTCGCACGTGTGTGCTGGTTTGTTACAGAGCTAACTTGAGCAGACTTTCAGAGACATTTGTGTATTAAAGTTGAGCCAAAGGACTGCACGGTTGAAATAAAGGAAAAAAAAGTTGGACTTAAGGGTCCTTTTCTACAGATATTAGCCTGAGTGTGAAGAGGGTTAGGTTTTGCTTTAGAGTTCTTTGAGATAAGAAACACTGTATGGACAAAACCAGAGTTGTTGTTTTCCTTCCCTCCCGCAAGCCCTATGAAGTAAAAAAGCTGGAGCTGCTTTGTGGTGGCTGGAGAGCCATCGGTGTTTGAAAGTTTGCTGTGGGCACTCGGGGCACTCTCTCCCTGGTTGCATGCACAACATTATTTCTTTTATGCTGCCACAGGCAGCAGTTGGAGGAGGAACTGCTATAGCTCAGCAAGCTTTAGCTCTTCTCCCACTCCATTTAGCATGGCCTGTAGGCTCCTACCCAGCTTCTCCTGCAAAACTGCACTGGTTTGGTGTTTTCACCCCAATGCACGTGGCAGGAACTCTAAGTTGCTAGGGGAATGGTGTTTGTGACTACTGGTGCTATAAAGCATGCTGGCGATGCAGCAGGCAACCAATTGCTGCTGGTTTCTGTCTGTGCTTGCTTCTCAAGAGGGGTTGGGATGAAAGAGTTGCTTAAGCTGTTGTGGGGAAATGTGGTGGGTATGTTGGTCAGGGGGCGGTCACTAGAGAAATTGCTTCAGAATTTACTGCATTGGAGTGGCTGGCAAAAACTTCCTCTTTTGGGTCTCTGGGTGGAGAATAGCAGGCAGGACTCTGATGGTTTGGGGTTTTTTTTAAAGAAAGTGATCCCTCTAGAACCCAAACCAAACGTAGCATTAAGCATTAGTCTTTGGCTGGTTTTATTTCTAGCTCGGCTGGTGCTAGCAAGTATGTCATTGTGCTTCTTCCCAATACTTGCTTATCTTGTGAGTCCTGTGAATCCTACTGAATTAATAGGCTCGATTCCAAGGTCATTTGGCCTCTTCTGGGAAAACAAATGACCCAGAAGCATGCCAGATCTGGTCTTAGCAGATGTGGAATAGCAAAAAAAATTACTGTTTTACAGGTTGCATACTGTGCACTAATACAGATTCACTTATTTTGGCCCATTTCAGTGGTAATCAAGTATTCTGGTAGTAGCTTGCAGCTTAGGCTGATTTCAGGCCAACTTATTCTGGAAGCCAATGTGCACAAAGCTTCACCAGGAAGCAAAACTAAAAGAAATCCCCCTTGCTGCTGTGTTAATCTGTTTTGCTGCAGGGGGAGGCAGGCAGTACAGCAGTAAGGAATGGAATTAGAGAAATTCATGGACACAAGGTTAAGGAATGGAATATAAAGGAATATTGGGGCTGTGCTGTGTTACAACATGTCTGGATGGTGGGAAAGGATGGCAGAAAGTGGGCAGGTTCACACATTGTCCTGAAATACTGCCTCCTGGTACTGTCATTGAAGATGAAGCGCTGGGATAGATGGTCTGCCCCAGCAAGGCATGGCTTATGTTCGTAATCGTGCTGGTGAATGGTGGTATTAATGTGCTATGGTGTGCTCAAAAGGCCATGCTGAAGTGCCCAATGTTAGCGATGCTGGTGTGGTATATTCACCTCGAGTCGGGTAAATATTGCAGATCAACTTGTTTGCATTCACCACTGGAGTCTGCATACCAGGGAGTAAAAATTTAACTGAGGGACACCAGTTCAGAGCTGGTGAGCGGGGGGCTGCGTGGAGGTAGGAATAAACCTGGGGGCTGGTTTATGACTGAAATGATTCCTGAAATTGTCTTTTTTTTTTTTAGCTTCTGTTGAGATGGAGGCTAAGTAACCTGCCAGTATACACTGCTTTCAGCTAGCACTGCTCTGGGAGTATTTGTGGTATGCGTAATGGCTGTTGCTTGTGGAAGAGGGGGAGGAAAAAAGTTGCTTCTATTTCTTTTCAAGTGTGGTTTGTTCTTCTGACAAGTGATGCCCTTGGAGAAAAATGTGTCTTGAAAGTGTAAGGCTAAGGTTGCCTGGAAGGTATGTGGCACAAAGATGGCAGAGAGGTGGAAACTACCAGCAAGATGAAGCCCTGTTCTGTTCCGTCCCAGAGAGCCAAGTAAATAATTGTAGAACAAGCTGGCAGACAAAAGAGCTGGCTCAGCTTATGACACAGGGGTGGTGGGAATCCTGTCAGCACAAAACAACAAGGGAGTGGAGTTGCTTGTCAGGGAGTTGCAGTTCTGAAAGAAGAGCCGGGGCGGTGCGTGTTCAGTTTACTTGCTCCTCAGACTTGCTTGAATCCTGTGCAAATCCATCATGGCTCCAACAGCCGAAGGCTCCCGCAGCCTCCCTGGAAAAGGGCATTGGGGGCTGCCTGTCCAAAGAAAAATGAGCTTTTAATTCCGTGGGTGAAAACATTGCTTTTAGCAGATGGTTGGGTGTGGGTCCTCCTCCCGTGGGTTCTTGCATTGCTTGGCCGTGTCTCCAGTTACCAGGGAGAGCCGGGTAGGAAAGGCAGGACCACAGCCGCTGTCCCGCTGGTGCCGCTTGCTCCTTTTTCCACTCGAGGCTGGTGTGCGGCACTAGCATGAGCAATTTTGTCAGGCCATTGCTACTGCAGGCACATTAGTATGTGCATTCCTTTGTGGAATGTAAAAAATAAAGCCAAGGTTTTCAGGCATCAGCTGATACTTAATGCCTTCTTAAGCGCAGCAAGGTAAGTCTCCGTAAAGCAGCTGTCTGACTTTGAGAGCCATTTGTCGTCTGGCTTTCGGGGATGTCTCATGTTCAATTCTCAGAAATCACCAGTCACTCCTGAAAATCCTGACCTAAACTTTTACAAAGGTCATGGTGTTTATTAAGATAAGTCAGCTTAAAATAATTACTTTGCTTTTGCTCTAGGGTCTAGGAATGAGTGGCTGAGATTCCATAACCTTAAGTATGTGCCTCAAGTGTTGTGTGTATTGAGGTATTGCGCAGGAGATACTTGTTAATCCAGAGGAGGTGGAGGTCCCAGGAGTAAAAAAAAAGTTGCATTTCACATGGTTCATTTTTTGCCTCCTAGTTATTTCAGATATCCAGGGCCCAATTCAAGGGTTGGCTTTTTAATTCCTTATGCGGGTCACTGGGTATTTTTCTTTTTATGATGTAGTGGGAAGAAGATTCTTCATTAATAGCCAATGTTGGGCATTTGGGTTCTATCTTACTGAAAGCTGTTTTCCATGAGAACAGATTTTTATTCTTAAATTGCCTATTGCTGCTTGTCCTGAATTCATGGTTTAGGTTTGTTTTGATGAAGTCTTCATCTCTCTGACAGTCTGCTTCTGCTGGAGCACGTAACTTGGGAGCTTGTGCTGATAGGTAACTTAAAGCACAGCATTGGTGGTGGGAGCAGAGCAGGATCTTGGTCACAAAGTCTCCTTATTGTTTAATATAACAAATAATGTATGGGAGAAGAGAGCCAAGAAACTGTGATAATGTCTGTGGGCAGCAGCCTACAAATGACTTGTATTAGACATCAGAGAATTCCCCTGATCTTCATTTCAAGGGGTGATTCCATAGGCTTCGTCAAGGTTCTGCTGTATTGCAGCACCTGTGCTATGGCTGGAGGCAGAGCACAGGAGCAGAGTGAGGAGCTCGTTTATATCCTGCTCATTTTGGGATTTGTTTGGGAGCTGAATTTATCTTTAGGAATAGTTGCAGCTTGTCTCCTTTGGTGCCAATTTATAGCAATTCTGGTTAACACTGGCGAGCGGGAGGTGGAAAGAGCTCGAATGTGTTGTATTCTTACACTTCTGTTTTTCTCACTTCAGGGTAAATCTGAGACTCTCTCATGTGGAAGTGAGAATTTCTCTTCCCACAGCCATATAGCACTGAACAAATCTTCTTGTCACTTATGTTTCAGTTAATTCCTCTGAGTATTTGTGAATAGGAGTCATTCACAAAGAGCTCAACTTTTCCTTAAGGATAAGGAAGCAGATTCCTATTTGGCAAAGGATTGTGTTGGTGCTGCAGCCGCTAGGTCATGGGAGCACAGAAAAGAAACTTAATCAAAAAAGTAATTTAGCTGTTAACTTCAGTCCATTCTTTTTTTTTTTCTTTCCTTCCCCATCTTCCCTGCCATTCCTGAAATCAGTAACATGTTTTCAAACCCCATCTTTGAAGCTTGTAGGTACTGAATTGAGCTCTGTTATTAGTAAGACTGGGGAGGGTTTATTCCAGTTTCAGCAGAGCTTTACCAGGCAGCTTGTGCACGCAGTAATTATAACTTGGTTCCCTGTGCTTGAGAACTTGCAGCTCAGGGCAGTAGTCCTGATCTTATCAGCGTTTTGTAGTACAACAGTTTTCTTTATAATAGCATCTGTTTCACTTCCTAAGGCTTAACTCTACCCACAAAAGGAATTTCTGTGGATTCTCTGATAATCCTGAAATTGCTGCCCCTGTACCTTTTCATTGACTTGGTGCTTTCAGTTAGCCCATGGGGTAGGGGAGGGGCTTTCTTTTTCACTGCAGCATTTAGCCTTGTCACTAAGTGGATATTTCAGCAGATTTCTGGCCTAAAACCTCTGTCAAAACTGCAAGTCTGCAGTTAGGGGGTGCAGAATGATTTTGAGTTTCATGCAGAAGTTTGGTTTTCCTCTTTTCTTTTAGATATGAAAGCTTTAGCGTGTTCTCTCCAGGTCAGGGTTTGCCATTTGAATACAACTTTGTAGGCTGGTAAAACCTCATCGGGCTTCAGCTGAGCCCCTCTCAAACAGTTGTATGAATGGGTGGGAATGACCTGAAAAGGAGCATTTCCAATTTCTCATCGATGTCCCCGTTTGCACGTTTATTGCCATTTATGCAGGCAAAACTGGAGAAGGAGACAACAAGCTGCTATTCTGTTTGTTGTAATACTTCTTTTATCGAGTGCAGAGTTTCGATTAGTTCTTTAGTCTCTGGGAGGGACAGGCATGTGAGACGGAAATATTTGAGAGGTAGGTGTCCTGCAGGGAGGGGTTGAAGCTGCTCATTTGTAAGGGTTTTGTCCTTAAAAGAATGGGCTGGCCAAAGCAGGAAAGCATTTGCCATCTCCTTTTTGGTCTGCTTGGCAACTCAGGGTTAACTCTGCCTTTTGAATGTGGGATTGGAAACCAAAATTGCTCTGGACATCTGAGCTTCCCCCTAATAAGATATTCCAGGTGGTTAGGGGAGTAATCCTAAAATAGCTCCAGATATAATTGCTTCTGAAGCCAGGCCCGCAGCCTCTCAGGGAGAGGGTGGTCTGGGGGGGGGTTCCGATGGCCTCTGGGGGGTGTCTGAGGCATGGGGGAAGGCTCCCCGGCTCTGCCAGCAGCCCGGGAAGGTGGCCAGCCCATCCCAACACCTCTGCCTTCCCACTTGTGCTCAGCATAAGGGGGTAAAGTGCAGCCAGTGCTGCTTTTCTGCAAGAAACCAGAGAAATCCTTGCCTGTGGTAAGGAAAGGGCTGTTTATCAAACATCAGCAAATTCCCTTGATACAGACAGGTGGAGGGAGAGGCAGAACTCTCCCCGGAGAATGACCTGCCTCTCTGAACGGTGTTTTTTCCTTCCTGCTACTATTGCCTGACTTATACAAAGGTCTTTTAATGACTTGTGAGGATATATTGATTTCTCAGGTTCCTGCTGTTTATACAGAGGAGGGCTTCTCAGCATAGGGTAACTTTGTTTTCCTAGGAGGAATAGAAAGGAAGCTTGATACGAAGCTCCTGCTGGGCTCCCTCGCTGTGCAAAATGTAGTTTATTCTACATACGGAGCACCTCTTGCTTCAGTAGCTTTGTGGGGCTCTGTACTGATTTACCTGTTCCAGTTGTGATCAGGTCACTGCTCTGACCACTGCCAATACTTGGTGTCTTTGGCTGTGAGCCTTGGCATGGACCCAAAGGTTCTGGTGAGCGGAATAGTCCCTCAAGATCAAAGCCGAGGCCTGGGAAAGTGCCCATTGGTGCTTGTACTCTGTTCTCTGAATAAATAAGGCTTTATTCCCTGGCTGCTGAGCTGACATTTCATGCTAGCCTGAGACTTTGCCAACTCTTCTACCCAAAACAAGCCTGTGCTCTGTCCTCGTGTCTCCACAGCCCACACATTATTTCAGTGCACCCTTGCTGCTGTGGCTTGCACTGAGATGGATGGGAAGCACTCTCCTTATCTTTCCTGATAGCTTAACGTGGGCAGTGGTAACTGGCTTTAAACCTTTCCAGCGACTGCAGGAGGAAATGCTAATGCTGCCTGCTGTCTCTCACCTTGGATCACTGTGTCATGCCAGGTGATATCCATCTCTGCCAATTTTCTGGGCATATGGCAAAACACTGCTGGCTTTCAGCTAGCTTTAAGCTCCTTTTTGCTTAGCAAGGTGTCAGGGAGCGTTACTTCTGTGCTCTCGACATCTCAGATGTAGGTACGAGGAGTAGGGTGCGTATATTCTGCTTATTCTCTGTATTGAACCTTAATCTTGTCGTTCTTTTCTAATTACCCTTTTTCTTCAAATAGAACAAGTAAAATAACTTCTAAAGAGTCTTTAATCCCATGGGAAATTTTGTTCCTGGAAATTTTACCAAGTTCAAGCCCACTGGCAGTAGAGAATTGTCTCCTTTAAGCCCTCTTTTCCTCTCCGGGTCCTCAAATGTAGCGGAATAATCTCTCAGCATGACCAAAGCTCCCTGCGAAAGCAAGTGTTTTACTTCTTGGAGCACCCAGTTTAACACCAGGAGCAGTTTTGCCCTCTGGATTTAGAACCAGGTACAAACTTGGGAAGAAAGCAGCTCAGCCCTCTACAGATCATTTTACCTTGGAGCATACGAAGTTGAGGATGGGAAATAGCTGCTGCCTTCTGGAGAGACTCTCTCTTATTCTGGCTGTTCATGGGGGTTTGTTGGTCTAGTTAACAATCATTGGGGTTTAGGAGCAGCTGGATGTTACCGTAATTAGCAAAAAATCCTGTGTTTTTAATCTCTGCTAGCAAAGGACACCCAGATGAATCCTCCTGTGAACAAAACTGTTCTTCAGATCTCTTCCTAGAGAGGGCTGGGAATTGATCTGCTGTAATAAACAGCTGACATAACAGAAGTGGCAATAATCCCCCATTAAATATCTTTCAGTTGATGGGACTTACTGGATAATTGATTAGGGCAGCTCACTGCAGTGTTTTTTTAAAGGGGGAAATGTAGCTTTGCCTGGCCTTGACAAGAGCTATTTATCTTTCTAATTCAATGTATGTGTCACAACCAGATGACTCCAAGATTTCAGATATTGGACCACCTCTCTAATTCTCATGCTTTTTTTTTTTTGTGCTGAAACCTCTTGCTGTCTTCAGTGCTTTTCCAGCTGCGTTAGGACACTGTGTTTATTGGGACAGGGTAGACCAAGTTACCTTGCTGGGTGGATTTGGCTGTTCTCTTTCCTTGAGTGGCTCTGAAGTGCTTGCTATACCGGAGCTTCAGGAATTTTATGGTTTAAAGATGCTTGAACGGTTTTTCAGAATCGTTCCTCTGGTCTTGGTCCTGCCGTACAGCCAGAAGCTGCCCCTGCTGGTTTCCAGTCCCGGTGATCATTTCAGGATGATGATTTACCAGGTAGAATAGACCTAACTAGAGTAATCCTTTTAATGCCTGAGAAGAATGAAGCTTAATCCAGCAAAGCTGAGCTTTCCGTTTCTGTGGGGAGAATCCAGATCCAGTAGCTTCCAGGAGTAAGCATCCTGGGTTGGCAAGAAGATTTCCAGTGGGATTACTTCTTTCTTTGGCTTATTTTGATTTTGTAGGCAAGCAAGGGAAGACCAGAAGGGCATTTCCAAGTGTGAAGGGGAGCAGTTGGGTGCTGGCAAACAGGAGGAAAGGATACCTGGATAACACCTGGGGCTCTAGGATGTGCACTTGGTAAAAATGATGGATATGTAGAGCAAAAGCAGCACCTCTCTATTAAAGTGTTGTATCTCATTACAGCAAAGCACCTGCTACAGGAGGGTTAGGATACTTCTGTTCAAAAGATGAAGGCGGGTGGCTGCTGAAGATGTTGAGGGCTTTCCTCTAGAATGGTTTTCCCTGGTGCCAAGAGAACTCTTTCTGAGGGAATCTCAGAGCTGAAAAACTTCCCCTACCTTGCCCGGAAGGTGAAATGCCACTTACCATTTTGGGCTGAGTGTCAGATTCCAGGAAAGTGTGCTGTGACAAATGTCCCCCATCTTTCTAGTTGTCTTGGTCTAAGCCAGCAGCTGCTTTTGCACGTGTTTGTGCCCAAAAGTGCACATTTGCAAGCTTTCTGGAGTTGTTTGCGAAGCCTTTCCCTGGCTGTTCTTTCACCCTTTCATTTCTCTCCCCCTAGAACGGCAATGTGACCTGGAGCGACGAAGGTGATGGATGCCGAGGAAGAGAAATTTCACGAGACTTTGCCAAGGTCAGTCTGATCATGGGGATTTTGGGGAAGGGGTAACTTTGGGGAATTTTCCCCCTGATCTGTGACAGAGGGTGCCTGCTGAGCCCTCACTATTCCTCTGTGATGAATTTGTAAGAAAACTGCTTTGTCCTGCAGCCCCCTGCTATTTTGTTGGGCTGTTTTGTCGCCTTTGGTCACTGGAATATAGTTTGAACTAAGGCTTAATAACCAGACTCCTGACATTTAAAATCTTAGTCAATACTTTCTCCAGCTGGGAGAAGTCTTTTCATTTCTTGAACCTGATTAGCACTGTGCTCGTGGATTTGAATGTGGCAGCTGTGTGTCACATCAGCCCAAGGAATTAATTTTAAACTAAGCTGCCTCTTTCTGAAAGGGTGCAGCTAATTGCTCTGCAAATACACTGGTGCGTTTTCTTCCCAGAGCTCAGTGCGTTGTGAGAAAGCACGGAGCTTCACAGGAAATGAACCTAAAAAGCCCCTCTTCTTTTGGGCTAGATGAATACCAAGTAGCCAGCAGCACCTACGGACAGGCTGAAATACATATTTCCCAGTGAATCTTTGCTTTTCCATTGAGCTGCTCCACAAGAGCAAAAAAAAAAAAAAATTCCTGGAGTTAGGCAGGGTTCCTCCTCAATGCAAACACGAGAAGGAATTAAATTCTGCTGCATGTACAGCGTCTTCTGTCCTGTTCTGTATCCTGTATCTCAGTGAGAGACTGACTTTAGCCCTCTCAGCCTGTCACTTTGTGGCCTCACAGGATTCTCAAGAGGTGAAAATTAGATTTTTCAGTTCAAGAGATGCTGTTGCAAGATGATGCTCATGCCTGTCCCTTCTGAAAAATTGGCAGATAATGCTGGCACACAGTGCCTCTCCTTTGGAATAAGCTGCCTATGGAACTTTGTTTTAAATGCTTGGGCTTTTAAGCCTTTTGGTAAGACTGTTTCTGCAGCAAACTGTTTCCTGGCTGGTTTCTGATATTTTTCAAGGCTTTTTGGCTCATTTTAGAGGAGCCTTTCCTGCCAGGCATTAGTAGCTACAGGAAAGCTCTGTCCTTTCATCTCCTCCTTCAAGGCACTTGGAGTTTGTCACTTATGTGACAATCCCTGAAGAAGGGAATCACGAGGCTAGGAGAAGCTGCAGAGAAGTTTACGTTCCTAGTGTCTCAAAGGTACAGACCACTAATGCACCCTGGACCACTGTTGCCTTCCTTTTCGTTGTCTCCTCTTTCTTTCCAGCTTGTCTTTATGGTTTCTCTCCCCTTTGCTTTCAGGTGGTTTCAAACCCTGCTATGTAGAGCAGTGCTGTTAACCAAGTCCCATTCCCTTTGCGGTGCCAGTCTGTACTGTACCTGGGGCCAAGCAAGGCAAGCCATAATGAGGGTCCTCAAAGTCCACCAAATTGCTCTGGAATCCTTCCTCATTTTGCCTCTTTGCCTGCCTTTCATTCCCCCAGGACAAACACCAGATCACCCCTTGGAAGAAGAAGCTAATACTATTATTTTATTTTTATCTGTTTCACTGTGGATTGTGCCTTCATTTTTATTTTTATTTTTTCCCCCCAGCTCTATGAACTGGATAGCGACCCTGAACGGAAAGAGTTCCTGGATGACCTCTTCATCTTTATGCAGAAAAGGGGTGAGTGAGCATTTGTTTGAAATTGATAAGGTGAAACAGGGCAGAGGGGTGCTGCTGCAGTTTGAATTCTTCCCTCCTGAGTTGGAAAAAACAAATTCAGCCCCTGAACCTGCAGATCTGGTGGAACAGCAGCGGTAAGACTTGAGATATATTTACCTTGGGAGATAAGGAGCTCGGTAGGAAAGAACTCTTCTGCCCTGTAACTTAATTTCTCGGACACTTATTTATCTACCCTTACTCCTACCTAATACTCAAGTTGTCCATGCACTGAAGAGCCCAAGAAGCCTGGTTCCCCAAGGACTTTTGAAACAAGGCTGAGTACCACTGCAGATTCTCTAGTCTCCCCTTCAGGTGGCATGATCACACATCTTGTGTTTGATTTCAATGGCATGTGGAAGCTGACTGTGAATGCCTTCATGGTCTGCCCAGAGCAGTGGCACCCAATCTGGGGACTGGGAAAATAGACACCGAGCCATACTTTCCTGTAGATTCACAATGTGTCAGCTTTCTGTTTAGTAATTTTGTGTAACTGAGTGCAGAAGCGCACAGTTTAGAAATGTTCTCACATTCCTCCCTGTGGTGTCAGCAGCTTGCATCTCTCCTTGCTGCAGGAGTGGTGATGCATGTGTGAAGCAGCTCGGCTGGGGGGGCAAACTATTCATAAAAAAAAGTACATATATGTAGTGTTATATGAAATGTACATCTCTAAACATTTGCAATAAATCCTTTGTGGTGCTCTTTACCTCTGCAAGCATGCCAGGCCAGGCAGACTCTTCCAACAAAGGTGCTTCTGACAAAAAGTGTTAAATTGCGCTACAGAGGTTTTAATTGTTTCCAAAAAGTCTGCTGAAGGTAGGTGTGAAGAACAGATGTAAAAAGGACCCTTTGCTCCCTCACTGCATAGTATTCTCTGAGAGTGCTGGACCAAACAAGCCAGGTTGTGCTTATTTGGAATGGCAATTTGCATGTTGCCTTAGTCACCAGCAATATTGTGCCCTGAGAGTCTATTGAAGTATAAATAGGTGACATCTCAGTCTTGTCTATTTGAAAACTATCTGATTGCTGGATTGGAGCTGGAGCCTCATTTCCAGTTGGCTTTTGAACCCTGCATCTCCAGATGCACCCCCCTCTGTGGATGACTGGATGGCAGACAGGGGAAGGGCTGTCCAAAAGCAGCTATTGCAACTGCTCTTCGTATCTGTGTCTGTCTTTCCTGGCATGGCTAGGGCTGACAGCTGACCCGTGTGAATTTTCACCTTCCAGTTTGAGGCTATGCTTCCAAGTCAGTTAAAAATTAGAGCTGGGTTTTGCTGATATTTTGGGCTTTCATGTGCAGAGGCATAACTGGGCTTAATTAGTTTACTTGCAGATGTTAACCTGAGCTCACATGTTAATATAAGGGCTGGGATGACTGATGGACAAGACAATAATCTGAAGGGTGTGATTGGCAGCAATAGAAACCTCCAGATACCTAGAGAGAAATCTGCTTAATACTTCAATGTCTCCTTCCTATTACCTTTTAATTATTTATAATTGACATATTCCTGGTGCAGGAGCTGAGCTGGTCACCAGCTGGTTGCTGTAGGAGTTTAGCTTTTGATCATCTGGGCACTTCCAAGTGTATTTGTTTTCTGGAGGCTCCCTTGTTTTCTTGCTTGCTAGAAGGTTGAAAATGAAACATAAAAGCCGGGCACCCATGGGGGAGAGATGCTGTGGACTGACAACCCTCTGCCAGAGAAGGAAATGGAGGACTGGAAAAGTTTGGCCCTGCTCTGGGGAACTGGCTAGGTTGCAGAGTGCCAGGCAGCTGTGGGCTTGCTTTTTGTATTTTGGCACCTCCAAAAGAAATAGGCAGAAGGCCTCTGGGGAGCTGAGTTTCTTCAGGTTGTTAGGAGAACGGAACAGCATGTGGTGACCTATAGGAGGCAGCTTCTCTTCTGATGTTAATCTGAGCTGCTTGTGTCTTACCTCAAAGGAAATATTTTGATTTGGCGTGGTTTTTCAGAAGCTGTACTGTCCACTTTTCCCATGCCTGTTCTCCCAACTGCAATCTACAGCAGGGCTTTGGTTTTCTAGCGAGCAGATGGACTTGCCTGGTGTCCTCTTCTGGGATCTTCAAAAATTTGGGAGCTTCTACAGCAAACTTATGGTAAGATACCATTCAGGCTTTCCTTTCTCCTCCCCTGGTTTTGTATCCTAAATGAAACAAGGCTGAACAGCTGCCTTGTTCTCAGAGTCCCCCAAAGATGGATAGAACCCAGGGCTCATTGCACCTGAGAGCAAAGTGCTGTGTTTCTTAGCTAGTATGTGTGAAGAGCTGGTTAATTTGCACCTCATGTCTAAAGGGAAGGGAAAGCAGCTCTGCTAATAAACATTGCTGGTGTAAAGATGGGGATTTTGCTGTTGTCCAGGAGGAGCTGGAGGAGTGCCAGCCCTTCTTTGGGGCTGATGGATTTGGGGCACAGATTGCTAACTGATGCTGAACCAAAAAACAAGGCCTGATGTGAAAGATAAATGACAGATTTCACAGGAGCTACTGAGTAGTTGGAGGGATGAAAAGATTTGGTTTGTTGGTGCTGCTGTTAGGAATGTACCTAGAAATGTGAAGCCATGAAACAGGCTTAATGCAGATCAAATGTGTGGGTCTCATCTGCCTCTGAGCACAGCAGGTTGTTGCTGAATGACCACAGCTGCAAGTGATAAAATGGCCCTTCAGTGGCAATAATGATGGAAGAGGGAGATGAGAGGAAAGCTGTAACTCTTCCTTTGTTTGATTTTTTTATTCCTTGTATGTGTTTAGGTGAATGGGTCCCACAGTGGCTGGGATGGAAGGGGCAGATGGGGAGAGGAGGGGAAGAGGAGACCGGCCGATGGGAGCAATCAGTGTGCAGGACTGCAAAAGGACTGACCTGATGCAGCTTGGCAGGGACGATGCTAGCTCTGTCACCACTTCCACTTTCCCCTTTCTCTGCTCTTCCATGGTCTCAAACCAAAGGTTGTCTTTCCTCAGACTGAGCAGGGCTAAGCAGCTTCAGCAGTGGCTCCCCTCCATCTGTTGCTGAGCTGGTGTCTTGTGACAAGCTTGAGGTCTGGTTTCTCAGAAGCTGTGTTTTTAACCTCCTGCTGTGTGAGGAGCTGCTCTATGGGCAAGTTTGTAGTTCAGGGCATTTTTTAAGGGCACAGGCTGAGGCTTCTCTGCTAGTGGGCTGCGTTGGAGGCACGGAGGCGGTATTTGTTCTGCAGGCAGGAGCAGTTTGCAAAGTGCCTGGCTGCATCCATTACAACAAGTCAGGGTAATCTTGTGTTCCCCCATCTCTTGTATTACTGAAAATAATTGTATTACAGAAATGTATGTAAGCAGATTGGGCAAGTTCATTTGCTCAGATCAGACTTGGCATTGGAGATAGTGGCATCTTCTGCTTCTTTTCAGGTCCTTGTCACCCTGTGAACGTACCCTGAAGCTGAATTTTGTTTCCATCTTTTGTGTGTGTGATAGAAGGCACAGGTATGATGGGTAGGAGCAAATTGTAGCTCTTAGCCCCCAGTAGCATGTGCTTGACTGCTTTTTGTCCCCAGACAGTGAAGGAGTGTTAGTGGTGTGACTCAGAGCCGCCAATAATTGAGCTGTTTGTATTCCAGCAGTGCTGGTCAGGAGAGAGTTGGAGTTTCAAGGGACTGTTTCATCCCCTGGAAGGATCAGCAGTGTTTGTGCAAGACAATTCCTCTTGAGAAAAGGTTTGATGGGGAAGAGATCTAACTGTGCTATGGTGTGCTAGGAAAGGCTCCCTTTCAAGGGAAGCTGTTTTGTTCATTTTAAGTACTGCCTTTGTGAAGACCTCATAAAATGTCTCCAATTGTACAGCTCTACTAATTTTGTTCAAGGTTTCTGCGTGACCTTGGTTTTCCCAGATGGCTTGACCATTCTGGTTTTTTATGTGTATATACATAGAAGGGGCTTTGTAAGCCTGACCATGTGGGTTTAATGTTTTCCTGCTGTTGTATGCTCTGTCTGCCCATTTTAGATGTGGAAATTCAACAAATCCAGGGTATTGACAAATGCATTTGATGGATTCGTTTATCTATAGGCTAAGTGGTGTTTATGAAACATTTGTCTGGGGAATATGTTTTGTTGTTCTACTGATTCAGTTTTGCAGGTTTCTTCTTTTGATCCTCTGGAGATATTTTTGAATCTGAATTAAGCAATGTAGTTTTCTAAATGGGATATCAATAGACATAAATTCTCAGCATCCTTTGCTCGTGCTACCTGCTTAATGCTGAGCCATAGTAAATGCTTCCCTAAATAGCAGATGATGTTCTGCAGTGGAAAATTCTGACTTGAGGCACTACAGAGGTCTTTTCTGGATGGTCCAGATCAACCAGGCAAAGTCCTCTTCCCCATTAGACCCTTGGATTTGTACGCAGCTAAATCTCTGCTGCACCTCTTAAAGCAGAACCTCTTTGGTCAATTGATCTGACTTAGGCTCAGCAAAAACAGTGGCTGGTGTCTTGTGCAACTGGTAAGTAGTGAGGATCAGTGAAATATTTTAGGTTTTTACTTTTATATTGTTAGAAAGAATGGAAAGAATGACTTTTCCTTAAATTATAGGGGGAACTGGTATTCTGGTTTACATTCCACTGCATTCTTTAAGTGGTTCAAGCCTTTCAGAATGGGGAACAGAGAATGTGCTCTGCTGTGCGCTTAAACACTCTGAAGTGATGCTAGGATAAAACCAGGTGCGAAGCGAAATGCTTGGGATCGCCAAACAACTTGAATCCAGCTCCTCTGGGAGATGCAGAGTCCTGTAACTGAGGTAGAGTCCTCTGTAGCATGCAGGAGACTCTTGCAGGGAATATCTTGCTCATCAACCTTGGGAGCCAGATGACTAAAAGTCTCCACTGCATAGATAAGTTGGTATTTTGGGGGGAGTTTACCTGGGCCAACTTGCAAAAACTGCAAATTGCAATAACTTAAAGTAGTTATCAGCAGGTCCTTCCCATGG